TGTAAGCGACTTAAATTCTATTAGAAGTTCAAATGATACTTCACTCTCAGAAAAAATCAAGTTTCGGATCAATTCCAGCATTGAATACCACTCATTTCCCACTAGACCTAGTTGTGAATCTTTGTTAAATATCAATAATATGCAATACCCAATCTCTGTTGCTATTTGGAAAATTGATCTCACAAATACAGCAATTCAAGGAGTATTAGTCTGGTCAGAACTTGTTAACATCAGGTGTACCTTCGGATTTTGGGGTTCCAAATGCACTCATGTTGTAGACAATGTAGTGATCCCTTTAATCACATCTCTGAGCAGTATAAATTTTGATAAATATCTAAACAACCCAATAGATGAAGTTGTAGAAGATCCAGGGATCCCATGGGAGTCAAAATATCTATGCTACTACTGCAAAAACGATTATCCTGGGCATTATGAGAGAACCCTTTATAAGAGGGTAATAATCTCAAGATACCCAGATGGCAGCATTAGAAGTCCACTAGGAAATTGGGGCCATGTAACCAAAAACATTTATACTGATGGAAAAAGATACTTACATATCAATTATAATTCTAATGATTCTAACATTTGTCCTTTCAAAACACATGAAGTTAGATATGGGATATTATCAATCTCTTCCTCAAACACATTAATCATATCTCTTCCTTCTGTTAAACAGCAATATTCAATCCCTGAAGGAAGTGATCATATGGAATGCAAAATAGGGGACCATAAGTCCCTTCTATGGCATACTGCAGGAGGATACATTATATCATTCTCAGGAGATGGCATTCCAATGATCCCCAACATTCTAGATCATTTATTAAACTCATCTGTTAAATTCAGACCTAGAAGACAAGTCCCATCTGATACTATCCGTTCTTGGAATCTGAATTAATATCATTTTCCCAGACTTTTGGAACAGATTTCGTCAAACATAATAAGGTAATTCGCTTTTAGCGCCATCTATCAACAAAAAATGTAATGTCCATAAGATCCTTCCACCTAAGAATATTAGCGTCATTCCTGGCATTATATACTGGGATTCATTGATCACATATCGTTGTCCTTTCTTCTCCTCCAGGCCAGAACCCATCTCAATCATACCTGTAATCACAAGAGGATTCCCACTGAGATATGGATGGGACTCTCTAGGGGAGTTTCAAGACGGAGACCATTTGTATTTACGAGATTACCCATATCTAGAAAAAATACAATGCACATATGAACAATTATGGAGTACCTATGATTTGAGACAATTGACTATCATAAAAACCTCCTTTATTCTAGAAAATCAAGAATTTAAAGCAAATCTGTCCTTCTCAGTTGACTCTCCATTTTCTCTACCCCCAGATTATTTCCGTCAAAGCTGGGCGATACTCCCTTTGCCTAAATTATGGTGTCAAGATTACCACCCTGTTTCTGATACAAGAGTTATAATCACTAAAAAGCAGTCAACCTTTTTCCAATTATCTCCAAGTCCTGAAGACAGCTCTCTTTTATTAAATCTAAATGATCCTGTTGATTACTGTCTATCACACCTAGGCAAACAGACAATTTATTGGTCTACAAAAGGATTCTTTTATCAATTGATTTATGAAGGGTCTACACATAATCCCACTCTGACTTCAAAAGAATTAACAACTTGAGTAAATCAAGTCTAACAATTTGGGAAGCCGGTGGTGTTTCCGTAGACAGTCACTATTTTGATTATAGATGTATTTATCTCCAATTTAACAATTCCTACTCTAGTTCTAATATTTTTATGATTATGATTATTATCATCATAGTTATTATTAGTCTCATTATTAAAAAAAAACCAATCAAAACAATCCCTTTATATCATCAAGATTATTGATCACATCCCTGATTCTCAAAAATTCCTCCGATTATAGACTTCATAATTTCACTTTGGTCCTTCATTAAAACTCACCTGTTCAATCAGCCTTCATACACATCATGACACCTATTTATAAGTTTCTAATATTTAATATCATTTTCATCTATATCCCTGATCTTGTCTTATCCTTACCTATTGTAAGCGACTTAAATTCTATTAGAAGTTCAAATGATACTTCACTCTCAGAAAAAATCAAGTTTCGGATCAATTCCAGCATTGAATACCACTCATTTCCCACTAGACCTAGTTGTGAATCTTTGTTAAATATCAATGATATGCAATACCCAATCTCTGTTGCTATTTGGAAAATTGATCTCACAAATACAGCAATTCAAGGAGTATTAGTCTGGTCAGAACTTGTTAACACCAGGTGTACCTTCGGATTTTGGGGTTCCAAATCCACTCATGTTGTAGACAATGTAGTGATCCCTTTAATCACATCTCTGAGCAGTATAAATTTTGATAAATATCTAAACAACCCAATAGATGAAGTTGTAGAAGATCCAGGGATCCCATGGGAGTCAAAATATCTATGCTACTACTGCAAAAACGATTATCCTGGGCATTATGAGAGAACCCTTTATAAGAGGGTAATAATCTCAAGATACCCAGATGGCAGCATTAGAAGTCCACTAGGAAATTGGGGCCATGTAACCATTTATACTGATGGAAAAAGATACTTATATATCAATTATAGTTCTAATGATTCTAACATTTGTCCTTTCAAAACACATGAAGTTAGAAATGGGATATTATCAATCTCTTCCTCAAACACATTAATCATATCTCTTCCTTCTGTTAAACAGCAATATTCAATCCCTGAAGGAAGTGATCATATGGAATGCAAAATAGGGGACCATAAGTCCCTTCTATAGCATACTGCAGGAGGATACATTATATCATTCTCAGGAGATGGCATTCCAATGATCCCCAACATTCTAGATCATTTATTAAACTCATCTGTTAAATTCAGACCTAGAAGACAAGTCCCATCTGATACTATCCGTTCTTGGAATCTGAATTAGTATCATTTTCCCAGACTTTTGGAACAGATTTCGTCAAACATAATAAGGTAATTCGCTTTTAGCGCCATCTATCAACAAAAAATGTAATGTCCATAAGATCCTTCCACCTAAGAATATTAGCGTCATTCCTGGCATTATATACTGGGATTCATTGATCACATATCGTTGTCCTTTCTTCTCCTCCAGGCCAGAACCCATCTCAATCATACCTGCAATCACAAGAGGATTCCCACTGAGATATGGATGGGACTCTCTAGGTGAGTTCCAAGACGGAGACCATTTGTATTTACGAGATTACCCATATCTAGAAAAAATACAATGCACATATGAAAAATTATGGGGTACCTATGATTTGAGACAATTGACTATCATAAAAACCTCCTTTATTCTAGAAAATCAAGAATTTAAAGCAAATCTGTCCTTCTCAGTTGACTCTCCATTTTCTCTACCCCCAAATTATTTCCGTCAAAGCTGGGCGATACTCCCTTTGCCTAAATTATGGTGTCAAGATTACCACCCTGTTTCTGATACAAGAGTTATAATCACTAAAAAGCAGTCAACCTTTTTCCAATTATCTCCAAGTCCTGAAGACAGCTCTCTTTTATTAAATCTAAATGATCCTGTTGATTACTGTCTATCACACCTAGGCAAACAGACAATTTATTGGTCTACAAAAGGATTCTTTTATCAATTGATTTATGAAGGGTCTACACATAATCCCACTCTGACTTCAAAAGAATTAACAACTTGAGTAAATCAAGTCTAACAATTTGGGAAGCCGGTGGTGTTTCCGTAGACAGTCACTATTTTGATTATAGATGTATTTATCTCCAATTTAACAATTCCTACTCTAGTTCTAATATTTTTATGATTATGATTATTATCATCATAGTTATTATTAGTCTCATTCGTTACATTTCTCACAAGTCTCACAAGTTACCAAAAATATCTATTCCGAAATTCAGTGGCAAGTATACGGAGTGGTCTACATTTCGCGATTTATTTATTTCTCTTATTCAAAATAACGAAACACTTGACGACGTTCAAAGACTGCATTATTTAAAAACACAATTAACTGGTGAAGCTGAACAATTGATTCGTCACATTCCGATTACGCAATCAAATTATAAAAAATGTTGGCAATTGTTAACTGATAGGTATAATAACAAAAAATTTATGTCAAATTGTATATTAAAGCGCCTATTTAGTCAGCGTAACATAACTTGTGAATCTTCCAATTCTCTTAAGGAATTATTAGACACTACCACAGATTGTTTGCATGAATTGTCAAATCTAGGAATTGATATAAAGTCATGGGATGTTATCATCATATACATAATTAGTTTGAAGTTGGATGTGGAAACTCGTAAACAATGGGAATTGTATGTTAGCCAGTTACCTGATGAACTACCGACGTTTAACCCTCAGTTAACCTAGTGTCTAAATATAATTTATCTGGTGGAGTCCGAGGGACTTCAATTCAAGAAATTGTTGATAAATTTAAAGTGAAACGACATTTTATGTTCAAAATCATTTATTTAACTAAAAAACATTACCTTCTCTTACTTTTATATAAAACTTTGGTATTAATTATCATATGAACCTTTTAGCATTCGAAAAATAAACTACCCTTGAAATTAAATTAACAAAAATTTGCTTCAACTTGTAGCTACTATAACAATTTGAATATAAGGAATATTAATTTTTTTTTACTTAGAAGATACTTAAACAATCTAATTAACTTATGAAAATAGACTAAAAAAGAATACTGTTTCATATAAAAATAAAAAACGTGCAACACTTAACCTTTAGCTGTCGCAACACAATGAGTGCAAATCTTCTTCGTACATGTCAAACATACTGGCTTCATACAGGTATGGCACAAAAATGAAGTCTTTCTTTTCAGGCGTTTAGGACATATATGGCAGTATTTTCTTTGGTTTCTAGGCAATTTGTCATCTAAAACTTGTTGTTCTTCTACAAGAGGTACCTTTGTGATGTCAGATATCAACTCGCGTAGCTGACGAGGAAGTCTTTCGTTGTATTGCCGTGATTTCAAATTCATGTCATTTAGTTGCTCAGCCCATATCTTTTGACCATATCGTTTGAACTTTATCCTTCAAAAAATGGGTTGCAATGTTTGTTATTGTATTGTCTTTAGGGGAATCTAAAATTGTATCATTGCTATTACATGTCGATTCCATTGCGACACCGCATGTCGCTGAATCAACTTGACTTTTTGGATGCAATAAAGTGTGATGCCTTCGCTTACAAATTCGGCATTTGATTGTTACGCGACATATTTTATTACTGTGATTATAACCAAGACAATTAAAACAAAGGCCAAGTGATTGAACAATATTTCTTCGCTTATCAACATCTTCTTTAGCAAATTGTTTGCAATTATACAGTCGGTGGCCTTCGGAACAATGGGGGCATGTAAAATTGGAAGTAACATGTAATGCTTTAGGATTATTGTTTACATTGGCATAACTGGCGCGAGTTTTACTTTTACTAGGTTCCACAAATTCTAAAGCTCGAAATCTTGTTTCCAAGTATTCTTTTAGTTGCTTAAACGTCGGTAGTTCATCAGGTAACTGGCTAACATACAATTCCCATTGTTTACGAGTTTCCACATCCAACTTCAAACTAATTATGTATATGATGATAACATCCCATGACTTTATATCAATTCCTAGATTTGACAATTCATGCAAACAATCTGTGGTAGAGTCTAATAATTCCTTAAGAGAATTGGAAGATTCACAAGTTATATTACGCTGACTAAATAGGCGCTTTAATATACAATTTGACATAAATTTTTTGTTATTATACCTATCAGTTAACAATTGCCAACATTTTTTATAATTTGATTGCGTAATCGGAATGTGACGAATCAATTGTTCAGCTTCACCAGTTAATTGTGTTTTTAAATAATGCAGTCTTTGAACGTCGTCAAGTGTTTCGTTATTTTGAATAAGAGAAATAAATAAATCGCGAAATGTAGACCACTCCGTATACTTGCCACTGAATTTCGGAATAGATATTTTTGGTAACTTGACACATGACGATTTCATAGATTGCTTAGATGTTTCACTACAACTAGGTGACACAATATCATTTTTAAACTTGGACAATGTACTTTTTAATTCAACCTTGTAATTTAAATAAGTATCATAAAGTGCTTGATACAAATCTTCCTTAATATACGTAGTTTTATTCAATTCGTTGGGCTCATATTTGCTGATTAATCCCGTATGTTTTTCAGAAAATTTACCAAATTGTTTTTCCAAAGCCTCCAGTCTTATTTCAATAAAAATAGGCGTAATTCGCTCTTTTGATGACTTTTTAAAATTAACTCGACTTCTTTCTATTTGACTTTTTAAGTCCATTAAAATCCTTAAATCGGCTTCCATGTTTTTTTTTTAATTTATAATTTCTGTTTTGCTATTCAATTTGTTACTAATGTACTATGTTCCAGAAAGAAGTCCTAAGATAAAATTTGCAAAAAATTTCTAAGTATTTTTAAATAAATCTTCTGGGTGAAAACAGGCGTAGGTTCCCCGTGCCTTCACTTTTTGGTGAATTATTCCACGTCCCAAACTACTTTAGAATTTATTACAAGTTAATGCACGAATTGAATTATTTTACAAGTTCTCTGACACTTATTAAAGATCAATTGTACTCACAGTTTGTTTGCACTTTACACTTAGCTGCATTTATTTTTCGAACTGCGCCAATCCAGTATCTGTAGATTTAATTTGCTCCTCTTCAGTAAATTGCCGACCAATGCTCCCGAACTAGTCTTCTTTCTTCAATAAAAAGCCACAACTTTTTCTCACTTGCCGGTTAGTAGCACAGATTACACAGTAATAATAATTTTAAATTGAACTAATTTTACTCTATGTCGCTTGTATTCCAATCAAAAACCGCTCCGACTCGAAGGAACTTATTATGTTTGACGAAATCTGTTCCAAAAGTCTGGGAAAATGATACTAATTCAGATTCCAAGAACGGATAGTTATTTATTAAGTATAAAAAAAAGTGACTTATGCTATCTTAACTAACAGAACCATTCTGCGTGGTAATTCGCTTTTAGCGCCATCTATCAACAAAAAATATAATGTCCATAAGATCCTTCCACCTAAGAATATTAGCGTCATTCCTGGCATTATATACTGGGATTCATTGATCACATATCGTTGTCCTTTCTTCTCCTCCAGGCCAGAACCCATCTCAATCATACCTGTAATCACAAGAGGATTCCCACTGAGATATGGATGGGACTCTCTAGGGGAGTTCCAAGACGGAGACCATTTGTATTTACGAGATTACCCATATCTAGAAAAAATACAATGCACATATGAAAAATTATGGGGTACCTATGATTTGAGACAGTTGACTATCATAAAAACCTCCTTTATTCTAGAAAATCAAGAATTTAAAGCAAATCTGTCCTTCTCAGTTGACTCTCCATTTTCTCTACCCCCAGATTATTTCCGTCAAAGCTGGGCGATACTCCCTTTGCCTAAATTATGGTGTCAAGATTACCACCCTGTTTCTGATACAAGAGTTATAATCACTAAAAAGCAGTCAACCTTTTTCCAATTATCTCCAAGTCCTGAAGACAGCTCTCTTTTATTAAATCTAAATGATCCTGTTGATTACTGTCTATCACACCTAGGCAAACATACAATTTATTGGTCTACAAAAGGATTCTTTTATCAATTGATTTATGAAGGGTCTACACATAATCCCACTCTGACTTCAAAAGAATTAACAACTTGAGTAAATCAAGTCTAACAATTTGGGAAGCCGGTGGTGTTTCCGTAGACAGTCACTATTTTGATTATAGATGTATTTATCTCCAATTTAACAATTCCTACTCTAGTTCTAATATTTTTATGATTATGATTATTATCATCATAGTTATTATTAGTCTCATTATTAAAAAAAAACCAATCAAAACAATCCCTTTATATCATCAAGATTATTGATCACATCCCTGATTCTCAAAAATTCCTCCGATTATAGACTTCATAATTTCACTTTGGTCCTTCATTAAAACTCACCTGTTCAATCAGCCTTCATACACATCATGACACCTATTTATAAGTTTCTAATATTTAATATCATTTTCATCTATATCCCTGATCTTGTCTTATCCTTACCTATTGTAAGCGACTTAAATTCTATTAGAAGTTCAAATGATACTTCACTCTCAGAAAAAATCAAGTTTCGGATCAATTCCAGCATTGAATACCACTCATTTCCCACTAGACCTAGTTGTGAATCTTTGTTAAATATCAATGATATGCAATACCCAATCTCTGTTGCTATTTGGAAAATTGATCTCACAAATACAGCAATTCAAGGAGTATTAGTCTGGTCAGAACTTGTTAACACCAGGTGTACCTTCGGATTTTGGGGTTCCAAATCCACTCATGTTGTAGACAATGTAGTGATCCCTTTAATCACATCTCTGAGCAGTATAAATTTTGATAAATATCTAAACAACCCAATAGATGAAGTTGTAGAAGATCCAGGGATCCCATGGGAGTCAAAATATCTATGCTACTACTGCAAAAACGATTATCCTGGGCATTATGAGAGAACCCTTTATAAGAGGGTAATAATCTCAAGATACCCAGATGGCAGCATTAGAAGTCCACTAGGAAATTGGGGCCATGTAACCAAAAACATTTATACTGATGGAAAAAGATACTTATATATCAATTATAATTCTAATGATTCTAACATTTGTCCTTTCAAAACACATGAAGTTAGATATGGGATATTATCAATCTCTTCCTCAAACACATTAATCATATCTCTTCCTTCTGTTAAACAGCAATATTCAATCCCTGAAGGAAGTGATCATATGGAATGCAAAATAGGGGACCATAAGTCCCTTCTATGGCATACTGCGGGAGGATACATTATATCATTCTCAGGAGATGGCATTCCAATGATCCCCAACATTCTAGATCATTTATTAAACTCATCTGTTAAATTCAGACCTAGAAGACAAGTCCCATCTGATACTATCCGTTCTTGGAATCTGAATTAGTATCATTTTCCCAGACTTTTGGAACAGATTTCGTCAAACATAATAATAAGGTAATTCGCTTTTAGCGCCATCTATCAACAAAAAATGTTAACTTCTTACAAACTAAATTTACATCAGTTTAGATTATTGGACAAACTCGAATCGGGTTAACTTGTGTTGAAATTCACGTAATCGAATAGTACTCGAGTTACGCAACTCGAATTGGCGATACTAAGCTGTGTCAGTTTGTTACGTACCATCCAAGATAATTATTATTATTTCTTAACTTAATAGGTAATTATATATTATTGGTTTACGTATAGACAATCTTCATAAAATAATATCACTAACTTTATGACGTAGCGTAAAGTTACTGTTATTAATAATTTAATTATCACCCATTATACTTAATCAGCTTATTGACATTACATAATATATCAATAAATTGCTCGAATTAGTAAGTCGAGTTCATCACTAAATTGCACTGCATTGACCGTAATATAAAAATGTGACTAGGGGAGAATTTTGTGACTCAAGTCACTCGGGTTTCATCATGTCACTCGACCCGCACGGAACAAGTATTTGTATGGCCTACAAATCATTGTTCCGGGTCTGAATGTTTGTCCTCGTGATTTATGTTTGTAAACTGCCTCCACGACACAGGAGAAAATCCTATTGTGGGGGTAACGTTTTTGAAAAAAAGAAAGAAAAGAAAAAAACCTCTAGTTGTACTCGAGTTTTTGAGTTATTTGAATTAACTATTTACAGTCCCTGCATCGATTGAAGTTTATCACTCGAGTCGAGAATAGCAATTACCTTAGTTAAAGCATTTTTAAAGAGGTACCTTTATTAAATAAGTAATATGTGGCAATATGAAATAAAATCCTCGTGCAGTGGCGGGTAAGAATACTCACTAACCCATATCATCCCGTGGGTGTCGTAAGAGGCGACAGAGGGAAACTGAGGCAGAGGATGGGCAGCAGCATCTTTCTGATAACAGCAAACCAACAATAAAAAACCAAGCCAACCAACGGGAGGTATATTGCCATAGTTGCCAACCGCTCGCCAAGCGTGGCAATTATGGCAAAATACCCCCCATGAGCAATGACATTAATATACGGCCCCCAGATAACTAGTGTTGCCCAAAATCGGTCTTGGTCTTGCAGTCTTGGTCTTGTTCTTGCATTTTTGCAAGACCAAGACCAAGAACAAGACCGCCTAATTTTAGCAAGACGAAGACCAAGACTGACCGTGCAAGATTTGAGCAAGAACAAGACTAAGCCTGCGAGACTCTTGCGTCTTGAAGTTAGGAATGAGTGTCGTTTCATGGAGTATAGGAGTTCGGGTATACGCTTAGGGAGTCTATGAGACGCAATAAATATTTTAAAAAAATTGGACTTATGCGCATTACGAACAATACCATAAACATACATAGCGGATGAGAATATCCATTAAAAGAAAAAACAGTGCATCCCTAGTCTTGACCACTTTGATAGTGCGCGGCGTCTTGTTGTCGGCATCATCAAAGGTCGAATACTGACCTGTCAAAGAAATTTTGCAGCTATTCGGAAGTACAAGGTCAAGATACACGCGTCGGCGGCTTCTATTGATATCGCATTCAATTGTCGCCGCCGCGCCGCACGCACTACATTTGACACTGTTTGAATGCCGCCACAGAGTACATGTTCCAAAGAATAAAATAAGTTTATGGGTGCTCAGAATGGACACGAATACATTATGCTGATCTCGCAAGGAATATTGTAATTAGATAATGGTAAGGATAGGTAGATACCATAATATTTTATTCTGGTAAGTAATTATTATAATATTAACTATATGGGTTTATAATAATTACTTACTATTATTATTATTACCTAATAGATAAACATGTTCAATAAGTTCACTGCAAATCTCGATTTTTGGAAGTGTGTGTTTTTGAACACAGTGTTTGAATACGTCGTCACCCATTTGATAAATATTGTAGACACTTTTAACACACTTCATACGTGTAAACATTTTGTACAATGCTAATCGAATAATATAAAAAGTATGCATATTAAATAAAAAGCGTAAAATAAGATCTATGTACTTTTTAGGAGCCCGAGTATCTCTTAGAGAACTGTTTAAAGAAATTGATTGCATCGAATTGATGTAAATAATAGTGATTTGCACAATTTTAATAGTAGAAATTAAAATAAAATCACAATACCTGCTTTCCGGTTACACAAAGTATATAATGCGTTCTTGGGTAGCGATATACGCTTTTATAATAAGATTCCAAAATAAATGTTAGATCTTTCACCTTTTCAATTTAAATCAGACAAAAATGCTTGGAACTGACCTCTCGTACTACACAGGACTAACTAG